CTGGCGTTTTTCAATCTACCCGCTCACTACAAGCTGGATACATTCTAATCTGGATTCTATAATTTCCAAATATATCCGGAAATGGCTCCAGATCCCAATCAGCGGTAACATTAGTCATCTAAAGCTTCCTAAATTACAACTGGGAATTGATTTCTGTTCCCCCTCTGACATATATAATCATTGTAAACTAACAGTGCGCAGAATCTTGAGAACTTCTGTCAACTCCGATATTCAACAGCTATATACCAAAACGTCATCAAGAAACATCGTCACTGATGATATTATTGAACGGGCGGCTGCTGGTATCTCTGAACAATATATGTTAAGAAACGCTGCAAAGAAGATTCTGGTAAAGAAAAACCTTAACGAAATTTGGTCAAACTTTGTAGAACTAAAAGAACAATCCGTGATCATTACCTGCTTAAATGATACTTGCTATAAGAAGATGATTAAAGTATGGCACGAAATTGTCACTCGAATGCCCAGCAATATAGTATGCTTTGCTAGGAGAGCGTTAATTTTAAGTTTAGGAAATAATTCTAACCTAAAGCGCTGGAACATTCGTGACTCCGCCAACTGTGAGCTGTGCAACAAGTTACAAACCCAGCTACACGTTTTTTCCAACTGTAAGGTAGCCCTAGAACAACAACGCTATACTTGGCGGCATGACTCGATTCTGATGACTATTATTCATCACTTAAAAGTTGCAGTTGGTGCAGATCTTCGACTGTTTGCGGACTGTCCTAATTCAGGTACGACCTGTACTTCAACTCTATTTCGAACGCTAAGACCTGATATAGTGGTGGATTTTAAGGGTTCTGTATATGTGATTGAATTAACTGTTCCCTACGAAACCAATTGTACGAAGGCTAAACGTCGCAAGAAAGAAAGATACAGACATCTAAGATCTGAGCTGATCACGGCGTGTTATGCGTTTGAAGTTATTACACTTGAAGTAACCACTCTAGGGTTTGTGTCGAAAGATATTGACAGATTTCGTAGATTATTACGAACACTTGAAATGAACGACGAACGTATTATTAAAAAATGTATGGAGGTAGCTCTGAGAGCAACATTCTATATTTACTGCAGAAGAAACAAGCCGTGGAATAACCCAGACTTACTGAATTTTTATTAGCTACTGTTGATATAAAGTGTAGAGAATGGACCTATCTGTCTAATATAGTGAACTGTTTCTCTATTTTCCAGATTTAATTGAAAGTCTAATTATGTGATATATTTGTATAAATTATCATGTTATTAATAAAGATTTCTGTTGTTTAAAAAAATTATTATTATTATTATTATTATTATTATTAAATATGTTTAATGATTTTGTAACCGAAGGTTAAATTACATCAGCTATACTACAAAAAATTAAATATAAAGGAGTAAACTACTATTTACAATTTAATTTCGAAATAATTTGTGGTAAGAAGGATTTTCTAAAACGTTCTGTTTTACAATAATAATTATTATATTTACAATTTCCCCTCGTATCATAGACCGAAGAGGATTTATTAGGTAAAAATTCATCCAATTTTTGAAGGTTCTCATCTCTCAAAAAGAACTGTTCGCATAAAATCTCACGTCGTTCCTTCAAGGATGGAATATTAATAAGTTCGCGTGCATCGTTATAGCTAAGTTCTGGTAAAATAATTCTCAAAGCTCTTCTTTGAACCCTTTCAATATCATCACTCAAATAACCTGGAATGTTGAAGTGCCAAACTTGGCAAGCGTATTCTAAGACTGGCCTTATAATAGTGGTAAATGCGATGGATAACATTCTAG